TCGATGCTGCGAGGATGGTCAGCGCTGAGAAGAGGTACTGGGTGTAGAAGTAGTCAAAGGTGGCGAAGGAGCCGTCGATCCAGGAGTCTGTGAGGAGGCGGATGGAGTGGCGGGCGCAGCGGATGCAGGCCTCGGAGAGGGTGATGGCGCTGGCGGGTACCTGTGCGTCTGTTACGGGGGATGATGAGGGCCATGAGGCGACTTGCGTGCGCAAGATGTGAAGTAGGATGGGTCGTGTGGCCAAGATGGCACACTGTTTTTGTTAGCAGTGTGTCGCGGTTATCCAGAGGAAACAGGGGAGGATCTTACCTGGTTGAATGACAGGTGAAGGGAGATGGGCTTTGGTCCAGAGTCTGGGTTATCGATCTGGAGGTGAGTGGGCAAATCCTCGACCCAAGCACGGAGGTCTTTCAGGGCTTGCTGCACTCTTGTTGACAGAGTGGCATCTCCCTGATTCCGTTGACCATAGATTGAGCGGACAGTCTTTGTCACGAGGGCTGCTAAACGCAGGTTGGCGATGTGGTATGCGGCATCGTCAAAGTCGGCGCCAAATGTTTGGCCGACGACTGGTTCTGAGGGCAGATCCACGCCAATGTCGTTATCTTGTATGGCGCTTGGATGACCTAGCTTGGAGGCCCACACACGATCAAAGATGTACGTCGTCCAGAAGAGCCGCTTCCTATGCTCTCGCAAGTCGGGGTCACGAAGCTGAGATTCTGGGATATTGAGATGGAGGCCCATCACTATGGCCATCCGCATAGCTGTCCCGGACATGACGAAGGCACTGTACCGGCGATTGAGCACGAGAGAATAGAAGGACTGCGACAGTTAGGACCCATGACACGACGAGCAGATGGTTCACATTTGGACGTACAAGGAGGAGCATAATCTCAATAGAGTCTGTGCCAGGCCGCTCATCGAGCAGGCCGAGTATCCTAGAAGCTTTCGCAAAGTAGGCCATGCCCGGAAAGTCCCTCTCCGACGGGATGGAGCGGGTCGAGTAAAGTTCACCAATGGCGAAGAGCGCCCACAGCTTCGACCGAAGCATCAAGTCTCCCCACGAAGGGTTGTGGATACTCTGTTCCAAGTTCTCCATGATGGAGCTGCGGCGGACGACGTGGTACCGTCTGCTGACGTACTTGAGCGCGACTTCTACGAGAAACCGAGACCTGGAGGGCGTGGGCCATGGGATGTCAGACTTGACGAGCGTCATCAGTTCCTTGTCTGGGGCGTAGTTGAGTCTGAGGATGTGTTTTGGCTGGGGCTCTTCGGGGTCGGAAATGACCTGGCGGAAGCGGGTGGTGAAGGCCGCGTCCGCCACCTCGCTGATGAGGATTGGGGTGCGGAAGACGTTGGCGTTCATGAACCATGGTCTCACTTCTAGTGTGGCGGCTTCTGAGGGTTCCTCATTGTCGCTGCCGCCCCGCCCTGAAGACGGCGTAGTCACCTTGTTGCCGATGTAGCTACTGGTGTTGGTCTGAGTAGTTATCTGACTGACGACGTCCCTGATAGAACTAGGCGCGCTCTGGGCATTCTGACTCTTGAGCCGACGGATTTCGTCCAAGAGGCCGTCAATGTAGCTTTTCACGCCGTCAGAAGATCAACATATATAAGATTGAGTTTCGGGGGTGGCGCTCCTGACGAAAGCCTTCCGTTACCTTTGCCTGACCTTGACTTGCCTATTCCGTCGCGGGTAGGTACACTCGGGGCCTTTACCAGCGTGCCGACAGTTTTGGCACGGGTGCTCCCCTGAGCACTTGACCTTTCGGGAGTGACACCGACGACATCTTGGAGATAAGGCATGTCAGTGGTGTGTATCTTGTGTGTGTTTGACAGGCTTGGCAAGGGGGCAGCTCACGCAGTCGACTTTACGGGTGGCAGGGGCCCGTCTGCCAGGGGGCTCCTGCTGCCAACATCCGTGCTGGGCGGGGTCCTGTTGCATGCTGCCATGGGGAATTAGAGATGGACATTCGACAGAATGCCGAGAGAGGGGGAGAGTTAACAAAAAGGTGGTGGATTTTTACCGCATCTCACAATGCGCCGCCGTTTGGTGTTGTTGAACTTCAACAGAGTTGGTTTCGCGTCTCGATGCGTCAGAGGAAGAGAGAGAGAGAGACTGAGACTGGCACTAACAACCAGCGACGTCGGCGAAATGACAAGTCGCCGATGTGGCGGACCGGCAAGATTGGGTTAGTCATAAATTCATGGGCCCAAAGAGGAAAACGGGCCTCCTCCCCGGGCTTTCGGCAGCGGCCCGAGCTTGTCTCTCCGGTTTCGTCGGCTAACTGATGCCTTTGCCGAGCTGAGTCATGAGCCCGTCGCCGACGTTGGGTCCCTGCACGGAATGCCGATCCGGCGCCGTTGAATGTTGAACGGGAGTCGTTACACGGCATGCCGGTGATATAGGAGTACCAAAAGTAAGCGCTTACACTATTCTTTTTACCTTTCTCCCTGGAAACCCGCACCATCATTGTAGACAATCACCTATAATTACGGATTATATTACTGACAAAACCCATTGATCACTTTCTTCCATATTCCGGCATCACCACGCGAGTGGGCTCAGAGGTCGAACAAGCCTGAAGACTTTGAGCTGAGACTTGATAACAATAACTCAAGGTCAGTTCTCGGGAACTATGTCAGTATCATGTTGTCTCTTCCAATTCCATATCCAATTTAGTAGGGACCATTGTGCGATGTTACATTCGGTAAGCGACTTCTTGTTGAACTCCACAAGCTGGTTCTCGTCCCAAAACTTTTCAGTGTCAAAGTCGCATCGAATGATAGAGCTTCCATTAGCAATATCATGGATTGCCTGCGAATTAATTCTCTGGCAGACATCATGGATCATCGTTGTCCAAACAAAGGCGTCTTCTGTACTCCCAAGACAGGGGCGAAAGGAGTCCCTGCCGCGACCGTTCGTGCATAGCCATTTGCCATGCCGCGTCACGCATAATGACTATCTGGAATGCTTTTGCGCATGACGTACCGCCGGTGAGAGCCAATGTGAAGCTCCCGGACGGCATTCCAGCGGACTCAAGTGCAAGAGCCTCACAGATCCAGATCGCCAAGTGGTAAGACCAAGGTAGATTATATTGCCACAGGAAAAGTAGGCGCTATCACAGGAGAAATATGCGGTCTCTTTCACAGGGGGCAAGCAAGACCTGTACTTCAACGATTTCCAACCCGGAGTTCATGAGTTATATGGAATCCCACTTTGCATGTTCCAATACCTGCATTCAGAATATATACATTAAGCCACACTTGTATGTACCTCCATCTTATACCTCAGCAAGAGTAGTGGCACCAATAGCCTGTCCCGACGCCGGAATCAAAAAGTTGCTCCCTTTCACCTTCTTATCCGAACCCCTCGCCCCCTTCAACACAGACGCATCCACACTGACGAAGGAGCTGTTGGACCACGTTCCCGAGTTCCACGAGTTCCCCGTCGCAGTCACCGTGCTCACAAGACTAACCTGCGCACTGCCAACATTAACCGCAGCAATGTTCCCCGTCATCCTCGACGACGAACTACGCATCACAAATCCCGTGTCCCCGTTATTCCACGCCGTGTTCCGCTCAAACGTCAATGCGCCGGGGTTGCCGTTATCGATGAACCCCTTCTTGAAGTTGCCGAACGCAATCGAGTTGCGCACGACGTGGTTCGCGGGCGGGTTGTCCGTGATGCCGAGCTTGAACCCGTTGCCGTCGCCCTCGAAGGGGCTAAAGCCCCAGCGGTTGTAGCCGTTGCCCCAGCTGTAAACCTCCTCGAGCGTGACGGGCGACGCGAACATGAAGAGGTCGAGCCCGTCGTCGACGTTGTCCCACAGCCGCGCGTTGCGCAGCACGTTGCCCTCGCCGGAGCCCGACTTGCACGCGAAGCCGTCGGCGCTCTCGCCGTTCTTGCGCGGGTCGCGGTTGCGGTACGAGTCGAGGTTGAGGACCGTGTTGTTGGACGAGGCGCCCTCGAGCTGGAAGCCCGTCTCGTAGTTGTCGTGCGTCGAGAGGCCGTTGTAGTAGTTGTGGGAGGCATCGCGGGCGTAGATACCGTAGGGTCCGTTGATCATCCTAGAGTGGTGGTTAGAAGGGTCTGTGATGGATGAGAGGGGCATGTGTTGGTGTTTACTCTAGATCGTAGAAGGCCCAGTAGTTGGCGTTCTGGATGTGAAAGATGCCTCGCTCCGAGTTGGGCAACGATTCGTCCAGGGCCTTGGGTGTGCTGATGGGTGTTAGTGTCGGCGGTTTTCTGGACCACTCATACGCATAAGGGGACTCACCCAGGCATATTCTCGCCATCAATGATGACCTTCTCGCTCTGATACGGGCGGACGGAGATGGGAGACGTGACGGTTCCACTTTTGGAGAACTGGATGTTCGCAGACGGCGCATAGGTGCCCTGCCGGAGGTAAATGGTGTCGCCGGCCACGGCGGCGTTGACGGCCGATTGAATGGATCCATACGGGGCCGTTTGAGTGCCGGTGCCGGTGCCGGTTGGGGACACAAATATGTCGCGGGCGGCGGCCCCGCTTAGAATGGCTAGGAAAGCAACCGGAAGACCCATTGTCGGCGCCATTGTCAAAATTGTGGTATTAATGTTGCCGATCTCCGAGTAGCAACGGCTTCATCTGCCTGGTTCGCCCTGGGTGTAACCAGACAATTTATAGTTTATCTCTATGCCCCAGGAAAGCCCATTCTCATTTTCTCAAATCGAAGGCAGCTCAGCATGCCATCGAGTTCCCACTGGTCTATGGCCTGTCTAGTGTTGCCAATTTTCCGGGTTCCTGAAAACCGGTCAAATCAGAAATCCCCCAATCATGTACCCTTGTCCCCGGCAGATCAGGACGACTGCCAACACCACGCAATATGGAGTAAGATGCCCAAGATGGCAGCTCCGGAGAGGACCCTTCCGCAGATAGATGATGAAGAGGGTCTTTTATACAACCATGAACGAAGGTTGTTGCTACCAAAGGCAGACCTTCAAAACCCGCTAACTCCTTGCATCACCAGGCACGGAATCGTGCAAAGTCGTTCCCTGACTGTTCAGCGGTCTATCACTTACTCATCTTCCTAAACGCCAAAAAATCTTGCCCAGAACCCTGCCAACATCAGTCTACCTCCGTGCAAGGATCGCGCAAGAAACTCACCTCTCCTGGGCCTCGGAGCCCTTGGAGCCCTTGGAGCCCTTGGAGCCCTGTCGGCCCTTGGAGCCCTCTCAGCCCTTTGAGCCCTCTGACCCCTTCGACGTTGCCGGGGCCTGACACCCTCCAAAAACAAGTCCCACGCCTCAATTCTGTTCGCATTAGCCCTTGGATACCGAAAATCACTGTCAACCGTCACCCTGTTCCTCAGATTATTCACGGTCCTGTTCGCCTGCTGCCAAGTCAGTCCAAACCGTAGGAACCGGTGCCAGTCGCACGCCGTCACGCCACAGCTGCGACAGTGCCAAAGCTGTCTGCCGTCCCTGATCCTGCAGTAGAAACACGGCGGCTCTTCTCGTGGCTGAAACTCCCATTGACCATGAGTCTGGTGGTTGCAACGCCCTTCCTCTCGTTCTATGGCGTACTGCGGCCATACTCTGCCTTCCGTCTCGTCGCCCTCGCGGATCCGGCGCATGTTCTCGGCGCTATCTCGTCTCCAGTTTGGGTCTCCGACCTGTTCCCAGAGATCAGTCAGCCGGGCCATAAATGCCAAGGAGAGAACTGGCAGACCTCTGTGTTGTTTCCGTCGGCGTAGAACATCATGATGTAGTAGCGTTGCTGGCCCCGTGCCTGCCCATTTGCGTTCACCATGATCGGTTCTGGATCAATGTGGTCCGGTTCCGGACCGTCTCCCACGTCAATCAGTGGTAGAGCACCCCCAAAATCCGGGTCGAAGTTGGCGGGATGTCCTTCGAAATCGTCCTCAACGACGGCTACGAAAGGCAGCACTGCTCTCACTATCAGCATTCCCTGGAAACTTCCTTTTATCCTTCTCGCAACCTTCTCGCAAGCAAGCGGAAAGGCCTCTTGACTCACCTTGAGGCATGGGTCGTGGCACAACGCGGGCTTGTAATGCTGGAGGTAATGGCGGTTGCTCCGCGATGACTTGCCGTTGAAGCTCAAGCAAGTTTCGAGGCTCTGCCGGCGGCGGGAGAGCGTCGGGGAGTCCTCCCTGCGGTCGAATGCGTGGGTGGTGATCCATCGCTCCCCGGCCTTGCTGGTATCGAAACACGCGTTGACGCATAGGGACACGACGTTCACGTCCTCCATACTGTGGACAGCCCCGTGGGCACCCACCCCTCCAGTCCCCTCCGCAGAGGAAACACCATTGATGGCCGCACTCACACCTATTCAACATATGTGTCAGTCATCCAGAACAGTCACTGTGTTTGCGTGGTTTCCTCACGTGATGTGATTGCACCCATCCCACAACTCGACAATCCTCCTGCATGTAGGGCAACTCGCGAGATTGTCTCGGTCCATTATGTCCATCAACATCTCGTCCTCCTCCTCTTCCCGGCATGGTCGACCGGGGTGTATGGCGGCTCGGCACATCCGACACGTCCCCTCGCCGCAAGCGCGGCATCTCATGAGGTCAGCCGTGACATGCGGTCCAGCTGCGGGTATGAACGCCGCACACCCGGGCCGGGAGCAGTACACTCTCTGATCTCCAGGTGTTTCCTGTTCCTCCCTGACCTGCCTATACAACCTCAGCAAGCCAGGTCTCCTAACCCACCTGATGGCATCGTTCTGCAATGGCTCGCAGCACTTGGGGGGCCACCCGCCCTGCCTCAAACCAGCTCGGATACAACCCCTAAGACAGGGCGCGCAAAACCAGCATCCGCATGGGAGCTGCAACTTGGGCTCACGGCCGCCGGAGCAAATGATGCAGTCCTCCCCGCCTTCTTCGGCTCCGTCGTCAGGCTCTACGGGGCTGTCTGCGAGAATGCGGTTGCGCTCCTGCCAGTCAATGTAGGCGCCGGGGTTGGGGTCTTCTGGCTCAGGCTCTGGAGGTGGCGGAGGTTGACGAGGTGCAGGTCGAGCCGGTGCTGCTGCTGTTGCCCTTGGTGGGTTCGGGTGTGGATGTCGATGGGCGCTTTGTCGGACTGCGATTTCGATGAGCTCTTCAGGCGCCGCCATCTGTAGCGCCAGCGCCGCTGCATTCTCGACCTCCTCCGCAGTGGCGAATGGTAAATCCTCGACATCCAGGAAGCCAAAGCGGAGGATGAGGTTTGACACGTGCTCATCTAAAAGTTCAAATTGCTCCATATAGAACAATTCTCAGAATCAGCTTTTGTGACGTTTTCTCTGAGGGCTTCTTGGTGGTTTGGCACCCCGGCGTTGACCTGTTGGCATTTATATTCTTGGGCGAGTGACGCAGTATTTCACCAACGCTGGCCTATCGTGAATGGTTAGGGCAAGTGCAATGGTGCTGATTCGCGACCTGGGAGTTGCATCTGGTTTCGTCCGCAGCTCGTCATCTGAAGCCAGCAACCAACATCCCATCAGAGAGTCACATAATGTTGACTCAAGCCCGACAGTCTGGGCCTTCACTGGGAACGATGCGAGCGGGTCGATGACATTCACTCCATTTATGTTAGCCATCCACTCCGACGCGTTCCATTATGCATACCACAAAAGGGTGGGCACTTACATTGGTCGAAGAGACATCATGGTGCCGGAATGCTTCGTGGTAGCCAACGAAAACTTGGCACTTTTGGTTTGGGTTGATGAGGTCACAGCGGCCGAGAGGTTCAGGAGTGATTTTGAGTCAAATTGATAGACGAGAACGAAGCTACTTCAACCCTCATCTCTGAGTGGCTGATGAATATTAGCCTTCTTCCGCCGTTTTGTCACTTTAGTGTGTCGAGCCCGCAGAGGTGGGTTTGGTATATCATCAGCCCCAAAGCGCCTTCAAGTTACGTCCATCATCTCTTGTGATGAGATATTCTCGTCAACATTGACCGTTATGTCCTTCATCCTTGCCCAAACGACCGCTGTGTAGTGGCATTTCCATTCCCGCCAGATAAACACCAAGAACCAACCCCCCGTCAGTGACTGTAGCCAGTAAACCCGTAAAACTCCTTGACATCGTAACTCCGACGCTGCTATCCGGGATATGATTTGGAAAAAACAAGTTAAAAAAAGAGCGGTACTAGTAACAGTAGATATAATAGATTGGGTATAAAAGATCAATAACTGAAGTCAACATTGCCCATCTGCGACAACATTTTTGCTTCTGCTGATGTTGAGTTCCCTGTAGCGCCAGTATTTGTTGACGTCGCCGAATTCGAGTTCGTTTGCGTCGTCTGGGTTGATGAATTGGTTTGTGTTTGTTGCAGCTCGTGTTCTGGCGGGGGCTGAGCGCTGGGTGACCATCCTTCGTCCAGCATTTGTTGGAAGCTCCAGCTCGGCTCGAACCGGGTACTGTTCCAGGCATAGTCGACACGCTCATACATTTCGTCGATTTGTTCCAGACTGATCTTACTGGTCTCGAATACCATGCACCAGACAAACAAAACTGCCAGAATGCAGAAGGCACCCCAGAGGAAGAAGATCTTGGGTCCGATGTCTGCGTATCCGGGTCCTGACCCGACCATAAAAGGGGTTCCGTAGGCGATACCGAAGTTCAGAAGCCAGTTTGACGCAGTCGAGATCGAGTTGGCCTTCGCACGGACCTTGAGAGGGTAGATTTCAGACGTGATGACCCAGGCTACGGGTCCCCAAGATGCTGCAAAGAAGAAGATGTAAATGGCACAGAAGACGATGAGAATTGTCTGGGCAGCCTGCTGAAGGTTGTCGCCAGCGGCCGTACTGAATGACGCAATCATGAGCTGACAGACGGCCATGCCAATAGCGCCAACCATTAGAAGCTTGCGTCGACCCCAAGATTCGATGACCAGGAGTCCAGGGATTGTCGATACCACGTTGATGATATTGATGATGAGAGCCTTTAGATACGGATTCTCCAGCTTGACGCCGTCGAAGAAGCTGGTGCTGTAGTACATGATGAAGTTGATACCCGTAAGTTGCTGCAGCATCTGCAGGCAGCATCCGGTGAGAGTTCGTCGGCCGAGATGAGGTGATCCATAAAATATCTCTTTGTAAGAGTCGGGGCCCAGCGTAAGCTCATACTCGTGGTTGGCTACAATTTCCTGCAGCTCCTCGAGCAAAGCAGGGTGAGTAATATCGAGACGTCTGAGGCGGCTCAGCGACAAGCCCGCAGCCTCGGGCTTGCCTTTCTTGACAAGGAAGCGAGGCGTTTCGGGGAGGATAAGAAGACCGAGGGCTTGAACGACGGCCCATACGAGTTGAAGACCGAGGGGGATTCGGTATGCGGCGGCAGAATCGAGTCGTTCGGTTAAGATGTTGACAAATGATGCAGACAATAGGCCTATTGTGATGGATAGTTGGTAGGCGCAAACAAGGGTTCCTCGAATCCATTTCGGCGCCATTTCCGATTGATAGACGGGTACGAGCACTGAAATGGACCCAACTCCGACTCCAGCAAAAAACCTGCCATGTTTCATCAGCAACGCGCTCGTCGCAATCCAAGCACCCAACAAAGCCGATGACCTACCGTCCAACCAAGAGCATATCAATGTTGTGGGCGCAGACTTGGAAAATGCCGCCGAAACTGAAAACACCGATGGACAGAATCAGAGATATACGGCGGCCCCAGGCATCGCCGATGGGAGCGGCAAGAAGCGCGCCAAGAACAGTACCAGCACTGAGGATCGCAACGATGATGGAGGACTCGGAAGGGGATATGCCGGGTTTTCGGTCGTTGTCGATGTAGCCTGTCGAAAAGTCTCGCTTGAAAGCCGTCATGGAGAGGATACCGTTAATCGTACTGTTTTGCACCAAAATCAGCCTCGAGTTTCCCACAGCCCAGCCAAGCAACACGCGTGGGCAGAAGCGTCTCGTGTAGTCGCGGTGGGCAAGTGTTGGGTGCTTACCCAGTGTCGTAGCCGAAGAGCAAACCTCCAGAGGCGACGAAGAGACCGACCATAATGGCCGGGGCCGACGAGCCGGCGACATTGTCGGGCTTCTGCCAGCCCATGGCTATCGCCATGGTGATCGGAGTTTGGCGACGTCAATCCAGAATGGAAGCGTGTACTATGAGAGTTCGAATCTCTCGGGAGTTGTCGTCGAGGGGCGAGGTCGAAATGGGCCGGCGACCATTTGACTTGCGGGCAGTCGTGGCGGGCGAGCGAGGAGTGGTGAATCGAGTGTGGGTAACGATGGATGGATTGATGGGATGGGACAGGCAGGTTAGATGGGTGTGGAGAAGAAGCAGGGAGAGACTGGAGGGCCTGGAAGAAAGTCGGGCGGTCGGGACCCGTTCGCGTAGTGACAGTAGGCTGGAAGCAAGCAGCACAGCGCAGATGCAAAGGCACAAGACAGAGGCAAAGGCAAGCGAGTCGGTCGGAAGAAGAGGAGGAGCCAGTGCCAAAAGGCAGAAACACAGGTAACAGACACTGAGTACGGGCTGGCTGTGGGTGGTGAGGGACGTGTAGGGAATGGAGGAAGAAGAAGGCGACCGGGGGATGTGATGGTGGTTTTGGCGGGGGATGATGGCCACTCAGAGGGACGAACACAGTAAAGAAAATATGGGTCCTGAGGCCAGAAGTGAAGCAGCGCGCCCCAGCAGGCGCAGCGCAGGTGTAGGCGGCCAGCAGCGTAGCACCAAAGCGATACTGTAGAGGGAATGGGGAACAGACGGACGGGACAAGAGGGAGAAGAAGGACTGGGCTGGGCTGGACTGGACGGGCAAGGGACGCGGATCAGCACGGGTTTTTTTTTTTTTTTTTTTTTTTTTTTTTTTTTTTTTGGGGCCCCCCCCCCCNGGGTTTTTTTTTTTTTTTTTTTTTTTTTTTTTTTTTGAGGGCGCTCCCCTCTGCTGTACCTTAGGTTCACAGTGTTGGTGTGAGGTCTGCTGGGATTGCCCTCCTCCTCCCCCTCCAGGCTCACAGGCTCGCTCTGGCTGCGCTCTTCTTACTGGGCTCCCAGAACGTGGCTGCGGCTGTGATTGGCTTGTTGTCGTCTTGGGAGGTGCTGAAAGGTGCACCCGCCGTGCTCAACTTGCAGGCGGCCACCCCCTTTCGTTAAACTAGGCTCCATCAGGATAAGCTTCGTCCTTGGGTCGTTCCCCTTGGCGCAAAAAGGCGGGAAGGAATGTGGAATGCGGACGACGAGCCCTTTTGTACTGCTTTGTCACTGCTAGCGAGGTCTTCCACTCGACTGGAAGAGGCGCTGCGCTGCGCTGCCGCTGCCGCTGCGTCCTCGGTACACCAAAAACAGCATGGACGCCTCTTCCACTGATCATAACCCAAAGCTCTTGGCTGGCACACGACCTGACTGCTTGCTTGCTACTGCTACTGCTGCTGCTGCTTGCTGGGTTTTGTTCTGAATTGGCGCCAACACTGATCATCTTTCATGTACACCTCTTCTTTTGCGGGGTTGCCGGCTTTCGAACGCGCCTTAGGGAACGGAGAGGAGCGGAAGGATTCAACATCGGCCTCTGGCATTCCAACCGCCTGCATGCGGACCAAGGCACCGCAGACACTAATACCGGCCTGCCTACCTACACCCTATTACCTCGCGGTTCCTGGTCAGACAAGTTAGACTTCCGTCTAAAAAGCAAGGAAGGTGCAGTCTAATGGAAGCTTTGGTGGAATGTCTGATCACCGTCTCTTGTCCTTGGCTTGACGAACAGACACTTGCACATGGGCACACTTCATTTGCTACCGCGAACCTACCTACCTACCTAAGGTACGGAAGGCAAGGTACCTTATGGTGCAGCACAGGGGGGTCTCATTGTCCCGTCCCGATCTGATGGGCCAAAGAACAGAGGACGTCCCGAGCGAGAGGAACGCTTCAAAGTCTACTTGGGGCGATGCGAGAGCAATGTACGGACGGCAGGTAAGGCACGGTACAGAACGGCTGAAGCTGACCTCAGGTACGTTGAGGTACCTGTCTCAGGCCGACCTGCCTCGTGCTTGGAGTCGGGCACTCGGCGTCTTGCATCGACTTCCAGCGCCCAGCTCCGTCAATGGAAAACAAAGGCGACGATTTATTTGCATTAGGCTATTCGCACCGCTGGTTGTGGGGTCGACACTAACATCCACCTCGCGACACTCTCGCCTTCCAACCCGGGCATCTGAGAATGCGAATAGCTCTCTGGACATAGGTAGGTACCTGCCAAGATATTCCCACATACATCTTGTGAGTCGCCCATCGCATAAAAGTTGTCAGTTGCGTTCTAAAGGCTCGACTCCCAGCTGTTGCTCTGTTTTGCGAGCAACTTCATGGTGCATCCTACCTACTAGAGTTGCTGAGATACCTTGGGTGCTCACGGTAAACCGCGCGGTTGCAATGCATCCAGCCGACCTTACCTTAGCTCAGCCCTCCTGCGTGTCGCAAATTGGCTCCAGTGACTGCAGAGTCCCAGCCCAGCCAGCCATTCCATCCTGACTCTGGATTATGACTTTTTTGCCAGTTGGAAGGCAGAATAAGAAAGCAAGCGATAACCGACAACCCCGGTTGGCTACCCTGTGTCGACCACGTCGACCCGTGACTAATGACAACGAAGCCCTCCATTCTCAAATCCTTCTAGGCGGCTGTCACTTTTACAAGCAGTCAGTCTCTGCGACCTGGGCCTTTGCGTCTGACACGACGGCTCGTCTTGGGAGAGCGATGCCGTGTCTCGTGTGTGTCCGTCATACAGACGTGCTGCTGTATCATGGGCATTCCCAGGTAGACAGACGCCCGAAACCTCAACCAACACGGCAGACAGACGCTCTGGTTTCTCAGGAGGTGGTGCCAGACTGCTGGTCGCACCTTTCAAAAAGCCACCGGATGGGAAACGTGATCCCTCAAGCCCTTGTTCGGGTTCTCAACCTTTACGGATACCTGGCGCATCATGAAATGTTTGTTTGGCTTTGTAGTGGTCAATGGTCGCCGTTGAAGTTGACGCACAGTGTCAGCTTCTCACCAGCTGGGGTGGAGCAACGTACCCACCTTACTGCAAACCTATTGGCTGGTGTCTGGAGAAGGTGCAGGTGGCACACTCGTCACTGTGTGCAGTTGCCGATTCCCGATCATGCCACCCGTTCGAGTCAGCGGCATTCCTGATAAAGCACAGTGTTTTCTGGGGCTCCCCCACAGTGATCCGTCAAAAGCCGGCAGCAGGGGCTCCGGATTGGAAGAAATTTGGTCGACCCCACCACACAAATTGCGGGGAGACTCCGCCAGGCCTGCCAGCGGAAGGCACCTACTGCAACGTCAACACCAAAAAAAAGTCACCCCAGGTACCTATCTACCTACGTAGGTACTCAGCGGTGTTGGCGCTGAAATGTGAGCTTGCTCCTGGCTGCACAGACAAGCTCAACTGCACAACAACGAACTCATTCTTCGTCACCCTCAGATGGAAGCTACTCCCGTCATCCTGCGATTGCTCGTCGCAGCCCGACGTCAGATAGGAGACAAGCATTTGCAGGCTCCATTCTTTAGACTCCGTCCATCCACAGGCAAGCGCTTTCATTCCGACTCACACACTCGCATTACAGTCACCACTAACAACCATCTCCTTGAGGCCTGAGACATGGACCTTTTAGATCCCGTCAGGTACAGCTAGTTAGCAGAGGCCCTCAGAGGCTCTCAGACTCCACAGTATATCAGTAAAAGATACTTATAGTATGAGAAATAGCTATAGAGGTATCTAATTAAAGTATTATATTTAGCTATAGATCCTTCTTAACCTAGGCTACCTATACTTAGCCCCCTCTCTAGTATACTAAGTATCTTAGTACTCTTATTTATAAAGTATTACGCTATATTACTTATACCTAGAGGTTATTCTATAGTTACTAAATAAAGTATTAATATCCCTCTTATTAAGTATTTTATATCTATATACTAAAGAATACTATATATACTACTTCCTCTTTAGTAATATTAATAAGCTATAATTTAACTAAATAGAAAGCTCTTTTTTTATAGTTATAAACTTATAGCTTAGGATTATTACTTCTCTATATATAGTTATAATCTCTTTATAGAAGTATTATTAAAAACGTTTCTATATCTAAGTATATTATTTACTACTACTATAATATATATAGGTATTATACTAAGCCTTATAGAAAGCTAAGTAAGTATTAGTAATACTAATAAGTAGGTTAAAATTAAAATTTAGTACTTAGTAGCTATTATAGTATATATAATACCTATAGTAGCTATTAGCTTTATACTAATTACTAATATTAATAGTATTTATATATTAGTTATATATATAGTAAAACTAAGGGAAGGGTAGTATTTTTATATATATAATTAATAACTTACCTATAATAGTATTATAAGTCTTAAAGAGAGCTTATAATATATTAGTATAGGTTATACTACTATAAGGCCTCTTCTAAAGCTTAAGGAAGGTATATTTAAAGCTATAGAAGCTTATAGTTACTATTAAAATAGAGGAATTATCTTTAAATAGAAACTAATAGACTATATTATCCTTAGTTATTTTATAGTAAATAGTACCTTAAGGTATTTTTTTAGCTTTACTATTATAGTTTCTAAGCTTACTAAGAGTTAAGCTAACTTTATTATACTAGGCGTTATATATAGTACCTATAGTAATAATATTATAATACTAGAAGTATTAAAGTAAGTTAATTAAAATAAATAAGTTATTAATAAAAAGGTAGTATTACTAATATTAGTCTAAAGGTACTAGTAGTAATAGGATAAGATAGGTAATAACTGCTTTTATAGAGGTAAGCTCTTTAGTCTCTATTAATAAGTATATAAGTAGAGGGATTACTAAACCTTTATTTATATACTAAGCCTACTAAAAAAAGTACTTAGCCTCCCTAATAACCTATACTTTAAAGCTAATAAATATAAGCTTACCCTATATATACTAAATATTAAAATAGTAGCCCTAATAGTAGATTATACTCTTATTAATAGTAATATAAGTACTAAGTAACTATAGCTATATTAATACTAATTATAGCTAATTACTCTAATAGATAACCTTCTTATATATTATTAGGTATATATTAT